ACATTACAGAAAACGAATTCATTGTTTCGGGAGAATATATGGGAAGGTCAGCCGGTAAATGCAACAGCCCCATAAGTGCAATTATGTACTAAGACTGAAAGTCATGAAATGTACCTATTACATTTAGCATTAAAACGTACTGTCTATTCGGAGGATGGGTTGCACGCCGGTATCAACAGAGAAGCCTCCATGGAAACAAGGCTTAATTGGCTTTCAGAACCTCCCTGAAGAAATTTGTAAAGTCCATCGTCTTCCACTCGTTATCATCAAAGCCTGTGGACTCTTTCAAGTGTAAACACTTAAAATCCTTGCCCATTACGGCCTTCAAGCCATGTTCCTTCATGAAGGGAACCGTGACGAAGGTGTCACAGGAACGAAGGTGTCCGCGATGAATTCGACAATTTGGCTTCCCAACCGGATAGGAATGTGCAATTTACGATCGTACCTGTCGAGAGGGAGAGACACCTCGCCCGATACTCCATCCTCACACGCCCTTGATCCTTGTAAACTGTCCTGCTCTTGTTCCAGTTGTGTAGCTGCGATTAGTGTAGCTGTAGAAAGAAAGTTCCATATCCGTGGTATTATTTTTAATTTGGCTGGAACAGTTTCTTAGATTGGAATTAATAAGGGTTTTTATTAGTAATTAAGTTATAATTGATAAAAGCACCAGTAAAGTCGTCCAGGAGTGTACACAAGAAGCCATGTGACGTGGACACTGCGGCGCTGAAGACGGTAGCGTTGATCCTGGTGAGGTAACTATGGAACAAGTTGTCTTCTACCCTTGGTCGAGTCCGTGTGTGAGGATGATACTACTGGCCTACTGCCGGAGGGAGACGCACCATCCTACAGGGCGAGGCCACGCTGCTAGGGAAGCAATGCGGGGATAAGTTCAACACCCCCTTCTCCTGAAGCACCCAAACACCACTTCTCTTTCCCAACACAACCCTTTACAGCACACTTGTATTTTCCAGGATCTCATGCATCTTCCATCTAAAATTATAAGGAAGGTAGCTAATGTGGTACCAAGGTAACTGCGCAAGGCCTTCCGCAGTTACCTTTATTCTTAAGTTCTTATGTTCTAATGTGCTTCGCCCCCATTTATTCCCTATGTATCCCCCTTGTTTTTACCTTTATTGTCTTGTCACCTGACCCAGTACAGGTATAAATCAACGAGTTCTGTAATTTCTTTTCACTTGAGAATGAACCATGGAGGTTCGAAACGTTGTGCAAATTGTATAAATAAGTGTAATACATTCTATAGTAATTCACTTTTTTCTTCACCTTGAATTAATGAAAATGAGTTTTGGAGATCTCCTCTTTCAGCTAAGCCCTGATGCTAGGAAAATAGTTAGAGGGATAGAAGCCCTAAATCAGAAGATAGTAAATACAGAATATGCGGTCATATTCAATGAGACATGTTTAAAAGAAAACCTGCTGCCAGTATACACCAATATATATATATATATGTATATATATATATATATATATATATATATATATATATATTGTGACGGTAACGCGTTGGTGTTCGGCTGTTTCAAAAGCTAGGGGTATGGCCTCGTCACATAAAGAAAAAAAAAAGAAAAAAGCTGGAACTTTCGTCTGTGGTAAGGTAATGGGAAGACACACAAAACACAAGTAAATTTAACAATGAAATTTAATTACGTTAGAAAAGCAAGACATGAATAAAATTGGGCATAAAAATTGTAACATAAATGAATCAAACAAAATAATAAGAATAATCACTGGCAAATGAAAAGTTACGTTAAGACAAGTGAGTAATAGCAAAGTAAATTATATTAGTGCAGGAATATTGGCTTCAAGCTGCCACCTCCCTTAGTACACGTAAGCCAAGGCTTAGTCTACCAATGAGACGTGTTAATTTGTGTGGAGCACGATATATTCTGCCTTCTCTAGGTCGCGGTGGCCCAGACATCAGCTCGTGTGGCGGGTGGTGGAGCAGGTGTGACGGGCACCAGCCAATCAGCGACAGGCAGGCGATGGACAAGTAGTTTGCCGGTTCATGGTGGCGGAGGCAAGCAGGTGTGCCGGTGTTGGATACGTTTTGCACTCTGGGCAAAACTTGTTGTTGTACTTGTTGGATATATCTTCTATATTAGTTGTTACAGGGACGTAGTTTGGAAGAAAGAGCAGGCTCAATCTCTCTTGAAAGAGATTATCATCACAATATATATATATATATATATATATATATATATATATATATATATATATATATATATATATATATATATAATATGTCGTACCTAGTAGCCAGAACGCACTTCTCATCCTACTATGCAAGGCACGATTTGCCTAATAAGCCAAGTTTTCATGAACTAATGCTTTTTCGACTACCTAACCTAACATTTTCGGCTACCTAACCTAACCTAACCTATAAAGATAGGTTAAGTTAGGTTAGGTAGGGTTGGTTAGGTTCGGTCATATATCTACGTTAATTTTAACTCCAATAAAAAAAATTGACCTCATACATAATGAAATGGGGAGCTTTATCTTTTCATAAGAAAAAAATTAGAGAAAATATATTAATTCAGGAAAACTTGGCTTATTAGGCAAATCGGGCCTTGCATAGTAGGCTGAGAAGTGCGTTCTAGCTACTAGGTACGACATATATATATATATATATATATATATATATATATATATATATATATATATATATATATATATATATATTAATAATTCTAACACGAATCTTCTCAATACATCTTACGGTTTTTCTTCACTGTTGTGGGTAGTTGAAAAATTAACTCTCCAAAATTAATTTTTTTATATTTTAATTTTTGGTCTGACGCTTAAAAGCGTTTCATAAGGCTTCTTACATTTTCGAAGACTTGGTTTACACATAACATACATCATACTTTTATTTGTTTTGGGTGAGGTGATATGACACAAAAGTTTTGGGTGAGGTGACAGAACACGAATCAATGGGTATCAATGTGTATCACAAATCAATGTCAAGAGAAGTACAAGCTGGTTTGTACTTCTCTTGACATACCAGAAAACATACTAAGAAAGCTACTCCAAGCCTGCACTAAAGTGGCACCCTACTTGAGTCCAGATGGGCACATGTATAAGCAAGTAGATGGGGGTCGTCATGGGTTCTCCCCTAGGTGTCCTGTTTGCGAACTTCTACATGGGTACCATAGAGCAAAGGGTCTTAGTTGACATGGACTTGAAACCTGCCATATACTGCAGGTATGTTGACAACATTTTTTCACAGGTACCTGATGTCAGACATCTGCAGCAGCTGAAGGAGGCATTTGAGCATAATTCTATGTTAAATTTCACTTACGAGATGGAGAATGATGGGACGCTGCTCTTTCTAGATGTAACAGTCAAGGAAAGGAACGGAGGCTTCCACACTGCAGTCTACACTAAGGAAACAAACATAGGAATATGCCTCAATGCCAATAGTGACTGCCCAGACAGGTACAAGAGGAGTGTTGTCAACGCTTACGTCAACCGGGTTCTCAGTCACAGCTCAGGATGGAAGCAAGTCGATGAAGAACTCTGTAGGGTAAGGCAGGTCCTAGTCAACAACGGCTTCTCTAACGGTTATGTTGAAGACGTCATAAAAAGAGAGGTGAAACGCCATGCAACCTCTGGAGAGTCAACTAACATAACACTTGTACCCCCTATTAGACTGTTTTACAGAAACTTCTTTTCGACGGCTCATAAAATGGAGGAAAGTGTCCTGAAAGATATAATTAATTGGAACGTCATCACTACAGACAAAAATCTGAAAATACAATTGACAATTTACTACAAAAATAAAAAAAACGGCCAACCTACTTATGAAAAACTCCCCAGACACTAAACAGAACGACTTGAAATAAACCAACGTCGTCTATGCCTTCACATGCCCACTTGGGGACTGTAAGCCCCAAAGAATTCAGTATATAGACAAGACAACAGTGTCTCTTTCTAGGCGATTAACAATGTACAAACAACAGGGCTCCATCAAGGAACATATAATCTCTTCTCACAACCAGACCATCACCAGAGAAATCTTAACAAGCAACACAGAAATCATCAACAGATATAGCAATAGCAGGAGACTCGACATCAGTGAGGCACTACACATCAAAAAGTCAACACCAGCAATCAACAGCCAGTTAACGCATAACTATATTCTACCCACTTCAAGACCGCAAACCAACTTAGAAGTAGCAAGAGAAAGTATGGGCCAATAGGCCTTCTGTACTCACTTCTATTCATATGGTTTCATACCCAATTTATACCCATTGATTCGTATTGTCACCTCACCCAAAACTTTTGTGTCATATCACCTCACCCAAAACAAATAAAAGCATGATGTATGTTATGTGTAAACCAAGTCTTTGAAAATGGAAGAAGCTTTACGAAAAGGCTTTGCTAAAGTCAAGGTATACAATTCTGCAAATCTTTCAGCTGTCAGCTGATTTAAATATCGTTTGGAAAATAAAGAGTGCAAATTATTTACACACCAGTAGCTCTTATATTAACCATTTGTGAATCCTTAATTATATATAATCAATGTATTTCCAGACACAAAAGATATATTATAGATCGATAATCGCTTTTGCAATTATCGATTCAAGCAATTTCATACGATAGACGTTAAGCTAACTGGACAATAGTTTGACGCAAGTGATCTATTGTAACAAGTGATCGTTGTTAGAAATCAACAGCAATTGTGTACCTCCAATGATCATTATCACCTCTTAACCCTCAACATTTACCTTCAACCTCAAGGACAATTTTAAACCCTAACAACCACCTAAACATTTCAGTTCTTATATCCCGGCTGAACGACTCGACGACAGAGAAAGGAACTAGGAAATATTGCTCATGTCATTAGCCAGAAAAGCATTACACAGTTGGACAGGACCTGGACAAAGGGGGTCCTGTGACCTTGGGAAGATTGTATGCACCACCTCGGTGCAGGAAAGGGTATATAAGCAGAGGCAGGACCCTTCCCCTCAGCAGTCAACACGTTACAACCAGCTACAGCAACCATGGTCAGTTATTTAGTGATTTTACAACTATCAACCAATGTTGGATATAATTTAATTTAAAACATGCTTTTCTTGATTCACGATTTAATGCTCTTGTTATAAAGTTATACATATTTTTATGTATAATTTGTATTCGCGTACTAGATTGGTCTAACCAGTTGAATATGATAAGTTAACAATTTAATAGTGTTAAATATTACCTTATATTAGTGTACAAGTCTTCTCCAAACTGTATACTCAGGCCTTGATAATGCACTTAGGAGAATGCAAAAGATTTGGTGAAGTTCACGACTCTACATAAAATATTTAGATACATAACTGTGGTTTCCTAATCCAATAATAATAATAATAAAATAATAATATTTTTGTTATTTTTATTTTCATTATTATTATTATTTTTAAAGCGTAATAGCTATGAATCAACACACTTTTGCTTTTACAGAGATAATTAGAACAATATTTGTTGAGGGGAAGTACGGTGTGTGAGCAGTGACGACAGTGACCAGGAAGTGACTCACTGCTAGTCTACGAGCCGAGGATATTTCTGGTAGTTGAGCACTGTGCGTCTGCTCTATTTGGTGTACTGTGTTGTGTCTGCTGAACAGTGACTAGGTCAAGCTGCTATATGTGGTGTACTATGTTATGTCTGCTGTACAGTGACCAGGCCAAACTGCTATATTTGGTGTACTGTGTTGTGTCTGCTGTACAGTGACCAGGCCAAGCTGCTGTATTTGGTGTACTGTATTGTGTCTGCTGTACAGTGACCAGGCCAAGCTGCTGTATTTGGTGTACTGTATTGTGTCTGCTGTACAGTGACCAGGCCAAGCTGCTCTATATGGTGCAATGTTGTTTCATCTACGGGTCTGTTTGAGGAGGCGAAAAGAAGTTGCTGAAAGATGAGATGAGCATTTGTGTTGCTCACGTGGCCCCACAAAGTGAGGTTATTCGATGAAATATCTATGCCCAAGCTTACCAACAAGTGCTGTCGGGATGTTGGGGAAATAGTCTCGGCTGCCAACGTCTTTTGTAGAGTCATGGTTGGTCGAGTGGTTAAAGAACCAAATACGCCATGGTGTATTGTGCTCCTGGCTGTCTGGGTTCGAATCCTTCTGGGGTGTGGAGTTTTCATTATATATATATATATATATATATATATATATATATATATATATATATATATATATATATATATATATATATATATATATATATATATATATATATATATATGTCGTACCTAGTAGCCAGAACGCACTTCTCAGCCTACTATGCAAGGCCCAATTTGCCTAATGAGCCAAGTTTTCATGAAATAATTGTTTTTCGACTACCTTACCTACCTAACCTAACCTAACCTAACTTTTTCGGCTACCTAACCTAACCTAGCCTATAAAGATAGGTTAGGTTAGGTTAGGTAGGGTTGGTTAGGTTCGGTCATATATCTACGTTAATTTTAACTCCAATACAAAAAAATTGACCTCATACATAATGAAATGAGTAGCTTTATCATTTCATAAGAAAAAAATTAGAAAAAATATATTAATTCAGGAAAACTTGGCTTATTAGGCAAATCGGGCCATGTATAGTAGGCTGAGAAGTGCGTTCTGGCTACTAGGTACGACATATATATATATATATATATATATATATATATATATATTTCGTACCTAGTAGCCAGAACACACTACTTGGCCTACTATGCAAGGCCCGATTTGCCTAATAAGCCAATTTTTCCTGAATATATATATTTTGCGATTTTTTTTCTTATGAAATGATAAAGCTATCAATTTCATTATGTATAAGCTCATTTGTCTTAATTTGAGTTGAAACTAACGTAGATATATGACCGAACCTAACCAACCCTACCTAACCTAACCTAACCTATCTTAACCTAACCTAAACTAACATAACTAAGTCAATATTTTATGTTCTTAATATAATATAATAATAATAATTCAAATAAACCAATTGGAAACAATTTATTGCAAATAAAGAAAATCACTCGGCCTATTAGGCAAATCAGGCCTTGCATAGTAGGCCGACAAGTGCGTTCTGGCTACTAGGTACGACATATTTACATATGTCGTACCTAGTAGCCAGAACGCACTTTTCGGCCTGTTTTACACAGGCCTGCTTGAAGGGGTATATGTAAATGTATATGTATGCCGTTGAATGTTTGTGTTCATGGTATGGTTAGGGTCAGTGAGTGGGTGTCGACTAAGCTTTGGTCATCAAGGTTGAACGTGACTTAACAGCCGGCCAGCTTTCCATGGTCTCATGTTGACATTGACTGACTTGATCTTCAACCCTTGTGGTGTCATTAGTATGGGTTCTCTCTCTCCTTTACTGTCGCCTGTGGTTGTTGCTGCTGTTTTTATTATAATTCCTATGATTATTATTATTATAGCATTAGTAATAGTAGTAAAAATATGTTTTTTTTTTACTTTTTTAATTTTTTACTCACTGAATTGCTAATATATGTGGACTTGTATATCAGCAGAGGCTGCTGGTGATGGTGGGTGGTGCCCTCCTGGTGGCCTGGTGCAGGGCAGCTGCCGTGTCCCCCCATAATGGTGAACCTCCTGGTGACGCCACTTCCATCAGAAGCGCCCGCCGTCGGGGTCCGGTTCTGGCATACCACCATCCATTAGGATTTTTCCGTGGCATTTCTCCAGATGCTGTCGATGCTACTTCCTACAGCGGTCCTTCTCACCCCGCTCACGTTGACCAGTCAAGTTATTTCTCACGTGGTAATATTAAACCGTCCATCCACGGCTTCGGTGGCGGTAGATTCTTGGGCAATGACCGCGGTTCCGGTGGTTCATTAGGTGTTCCTGGAGGTTTACACCGAGGGTTTGATGGATCCACGAACGATCTTGATGGTCCCTTAGGATCCTCCGGTGGCGCCTTCAAGGATTTACGTAAATCTATTGTCAGTGTTCCTGGCTTCATCAGAGGTAATAGGGGCTCCTTCGGTGTTCCTCGTGGCTATAATCCTAGCTTCAAAGGCTTCGGTGGAAATTATGGTAAACAACTCGGCCTTGGGAAGTAAAGTGTTTTTGTCTTTGGTGAATGTAGATATTTCAAAGGGACAATATTCTTGTCTCAAGTCATGATTAATGCATCAATTCAGCGGTTGTAACTCAAATGACGAAGTAATTTTGTGAATAATTATTGCCAATGAAGAATGTTTTGTGAATAAAGCAATATGGTCAGTGATACAGTGTATGCATAAAGCAGTTATGACCTATGAAGTATTTTTGCTAATAGAGCTGCAATAATCCACCAAGTTTTACTCTTCTAAAAAAAAAACTTTACAATCCATTCAGAATTTCTATGAATAAATCATCAATGAATCATCAGATATTTTTATAAAAATAAAACAGAAAATTTAAGATCGATTTATTTCAATCCTTGCTGAAAAAAATATTAACAAATACTTACAATTTCTTAAATTAATATAGACCACATTTTTCACAAATTGAATAATTTTACTTGTTTTTTTTATTGTCTGGAAAGATTTCATTGTTCATAACTAAGAACTGACCAAAAACTGTGTTGCCATATGCAGCCACTTTACAAGACAATTGTATAAAGTAAATAAACAAAATACATCTTGAATAATAATACAGTGAATGACACATATATAAAATAACATACTATTAAATAACATAACCCTAAAATAGCATATAGCCGGGGCTGTCTTGAGACTAAGAACCCACTCAAAAAAGGGGAATGGAAACTTTGGAAATTCTTGACAATGGAAATAATGATATATAGGACCTCCCTAGAGTGCAAATAAATGGAATTACTGCTGAGGAGACATTTAAATAATGTTTTTTCTGTATATACAGATGCTATATACAACGATGTATATAGATGGTATATACAGAGGATATATGCAGATGCTATTTACAGAAGGTAGATACAGATTGAATATGCAGTTGGTATATACAGATGATACATGCAGATAGTATATACATATAGTAAATAGAGATGGTATATACACATGGTATACCGACGACAGATACATGTATTACTTACAATTAGTATAAGCAGAGAGAGAATATTCACATGCATATACATATTAAGTATACAGATGGTATATAAAGATTGTATATACAGATCACATATGCAGATATAATGATGTATGGGCGAGTGACATACTGCAAAAAAGGAATTTACAAATGCTATTTATATAGATGGAATATACATAGTATATACAGATGGTACAGAGATGAAGAGATGATATATAGAGAGGTGAACAGGGCATTAGGTGACAGAAAAATAGCACCCAACTATTACTGACCCTCTCGGGATTCGAACCCGGAATTTCCGATGGGAAGTCGAGAACGAACCCGACTGTACTACTAATCCTACAGGTATACACCTATATGGTATATTAAAATGGTATATACAATGACGACAGCTCAGGTCTCTGAGCGCTGACCTACTAAGCAAGAGGCTGAGTGAGAATTTCACCTGCTCTGAAGTCGTCAGCCTTCGTAATGACGTCAACATCTCAAGGCGGGCCTGAAGTGCTCTGGATGATGTCGATCGTGGCTTGGATTACGGATCTCTGTATGATGTCAATCGTGACTTGAAGTGCAGTACTCAGGATGACGTCCATCTATACACGGTAACTCGTGGCCCCCAGAAACCTTGAACCTCGAATAAAAACAAGGTATTGACATCTGAGGCCACGGAGAAGTGTCACCTGAGGCCACGGAGAAGTGTCACCTGAGGCCACGGAGAAGTGTCACCTGAGGCCACGGAGAAGTGTCACCTGAGGGCACGGAGAAGTGTCACCTGAGGCCACGGAGAAGTGTCACCTGAGGCCACGGAGAAGTGTCACCTGAGGCCACGGAGAAGTGTCACCTGAGGCCACGGAGTAGTGTCACCTGAGGCCACAGAGAAGTGTCACCTGAGGGTCCTTGTATCACCCCACAAAACCTAATAATGTGAATTAGCTGGAAAATAATAGAATAAAAGTTTGTTTAAACATATCGATTGATGCTGAGAAAACTGACTGAAAAAATTTATTAAATTCAATAAAAAAATACTTAAAAATACTCGTGCTTCTTTATACATACTCTTCAATTAAATCCTTAGAAATAACCAAATCTGGATGTATCCCTAAAATAATATAATCTAAATTGATATGTGGAAATTACAATATGGTTTCTTTACTCGAGAATATGATGAGTTTCTCCTTATTATACAACTGGCTGTACCCGGCCACAGCAACCTTCTCCTGTCTCTCTGTCCTCCCCACCATTCCCCTCTCCCCTCCAGCGTCCTCTCGTCCTCCCTACAATTCCCTCCTCCCCCGTCCCCTCGTCCATCCCCCACCATCCCCATCTCCCCCATCCCCTTGTCCTCCCCACCATTACCCCCCTTTCCCTGTCCACTCGTCCTCCTAATTATCTTCCATTCCCGTCCCCTCGTCCTCCCTACCATTCCCCACTCCCTCATTCGATGCATTCCCAAATAATCTGATGTCTCCATCAGATAATTGGGAACATCAGATATTTTGATATTCCCATCACTGAAATATAGAAAAAAAAATCACAAAATCAATGAAAAATTAAAAAATAAACTATACTCATGAAATAAATGGTATGTAAACAACACAGCTCAATTCCAACGCAATGTCACACAAAATAATTAAATAAAAAAAAAAAAAAAAAAAAATCTATGAAAATACAATTTATCATTGCAATCAGAAACATTGAATGGAATCATAACATATTTAGTATAGCATGTGTGTTGCTCTTACATGCACCAGATGGCCCTGTTTCTTAAAAAAAAAAGTTTTTTACCTGTCACAGGTGTGGCATCTATACTTATACTTACGAAATGAACAGTATGATAAAAAAACACAGCTCAATTCCAACGCAATGTTACACAAAAAAAAAATTATATCAAAATCAAAATAAATCAAAATCTATGAAAATTCAATTTATCAATGCAATCGGAAAAGTTTAAATGGAATTGTAATATATTTTGCATAGCATGTTTTGGTACAACGTGCAACAGATGGCATTGTTTTTAAAAAAAAAGATGTCTTTACCTGTCACAGGTGTGGCATCTATATAGTAGGTATATAAAAACTTGCGCGTATTTGAATAGAACGTTGTGTCAAATTTTCAAAGCAATCGGTCAAGAAATTTAGGAGATTACAGCGTACTGTTGCTCTTACATCCGATAGATGGCGCTGTTTAAAAAAAAATTATTTCCTGTCACAGGTGAGGCATGTATATAGTAGGTATATAAAAACACGCGCCTATATTCGTTTGCCTTGTTCGGGTAGAAGGTAGACACAGTAGTCGCTTCTGTATATATTTATTGACCGAGACAGCAAGGTATATATCTGCCTAGCCGAGGTCCTTCTACTCTGAGTCTGTGTGGAGAACTGAGGCTACTGGGAGCATGGCTTGATGCTCCTCTGTCTGGCATGACGTCAGAGGCCTACTAGCCTGTGATTGGTTACATTTCAACTGACAGAATTTGAGTATAACACCTGTCGGAAAATCCGACACCATTTAATATATCATACAGACAGATAATAGCTGTGTTGTATAAACAAGTTAACCCATAGAAAACGTAACTTGTAGTGGAATTACCGTCTAAAGAAAACGGGATATCATCACCACATACTATTATATTCACCACCTATTATGGTGGGAATTATTCTTAAATACATTAGTCTTTGGACTTTACCATCATAAAAACATCTTATATAAATTAACTTAATTATCAATATTAAAGTAGAGTAAATGTGACCCTTCTATCACTTTCTGAAATCTGGACAATGTAAGCCAGGCGAGAGGGAGGAAGGAGGGTGGCCATTGTTGTGTCACATCCGAGACGCGTGGAGCAAATTCGGCTCCTATCATATCTGGACAATGTCGGCCAGGCGTCAATAGTATGGAGTATTAGACGCAGCCATTGTTGAGACTAGACCAGAGGCTCTCGGGAGCAAATTCGGCTCCTGTTAATTTTACTTGGACGAAGTGTTATGGAAACCAAAGGTGTACCATTATCACACGCTGTCAACAAATTCAAGTTAAGTGTTCTTTCCGAAACCCATGTATCTTTCATTTATGGCCATTAATGTCATTATATAGGGTGATCCGGTTAGAGCACGACATAGCCTCAAACTAAAGGTAATTAAGCCAGGTCTTTATTGTTCCATGTACAGTATTTTCTCTGATATAGCTTGTCATATATAGGTATCTGGCTTCACAGTTAGCGCCCTTTTGACAGGTCAAGACGAGGAAGCAAGGCTTTGTACATCAGTTACCTGGGTGATGAAAGCTACCTCAAAGAGGATAATTTGGTGTCTACACCCTAGTTATACCTGGTGGACTAACCTGCTGTACTATAAGATAAGGAACCTTTTCAATGTATGTAGTTACTGTAGTTTGATTGGCTGCATATATATTAATTTAATAACCCCCCCTAATGTGTAGAGGATCGATTTGTGAGATTAAGAGATTATTGCAGAAATACAGTCCACTTATCATTATACAAATTGCTATCGAAGTATATAAATTAACGTAAATATAAATTCATATAAATTAAATAAATATAAATCTCACAGGTCGGTTCCCACAACACCTATTCGAATGCAACATTGTGTCAAAATTTCAAAATTTCATCTCGGTAAAGATGTTTCGAAGATTTCCCTCACATGAAAAACACATGAAAAACACAGTTTAAAAAATCATGTTTTTTTCCTGTCACAGACGTGACATCTGTATAATACGTATATGAAAACCTGCTCAGATGCGAATGGAAAGTTGTGTGAAAATTTCAAAGCAATCAGTGAAGAACTTTCGGAGATTAGCGCTTTTGAAAAAACGAACATTTCCATTTTTATTTATAAAGATGGATTAAATTTGATCAAAATACACAGAGTGGCGATTAGAGACTTTCAGCATAAATAATATATGAACTAATAGCTACAACTACAACCCTACGAGTAACTACCTCACAACCCCCTACAACCCTACGAGTAACTACCCTCACAACCCCTACAACCCTACGAGTAACTACCCTCACAACCCCTACAACCCTACGAGTAACTACCTCACAACCCCTACAACCCTACGAGTAACTACCCTCACAACCCCTACAACCCTACGAGTAACTACCCTCACAACCCCTACAACCCTACGAGTAACTACCTCACAACCCCTACAACCCTACGAGTAACTACCTCACAACCACTACAACACCATGAGTAACTATCTTCACAACTCCTACAACCCCACGAGTAACTACCCTCACAACCCCTACAACCCTACGAGTAACTACCTCACAACCACTACAACACCATGAGTAACTATCTTCACAACTCCTACAACCCTACGAGTAACTACCCTCACAACCCCTACAACCCTACGAGTAACTACCCTCACAACCCCTACAACCCTACGAGTAACTACCCTCACAACCCCTACAACCCTACGAGTAACTACCTCACAACCCCTACAACCCTACGAGTAACTACCTCACAACCACTACAACACCATGAGTAACTATCTTCACAACTCCTACAACCCCACGAGTAACTACCCTCACAACCCCTACAACCCTACGAGTAACTACCCTCACAACCACTACAACCCCACGAGTAAATACCCCCACAACCCCTCATCACCATATGCCACCATGTCTCAAACAACCACCAGCACCCTATCAACCATCTCAACCATAAACCACCAATAACAGCTATCGTCAGTTATATCTATCACCACAACCATCATCATCAATCACTACCATGACAACCAGCAACTACCATTACTAACAACAACAACCAGAGTTACTACCTACAACAACAATCCCAGCCAACGCTACTACCAGCCACAACGGCCACCACCATTGACCCCTCTATCACCTCTAAGAGCTACCACACCCTAAAAGGAAACTGTCCGGCTCAACACCAAGGAATATAAGTGACTAAAATTACTCGTGAAATTATAAGTGACAAAAGTATCGCACAGTTGGACAGGACCTGGACAAAGGGGTCCTGTGACCTTGTCTGAATGACCACCTCAAATCTGGACGGGGGTATAAAAGCTGAGACAGGACCCTCCTGCAGTAGTCAACAGAGCGAGACTCACCCTACAACCAACTCCACCAATCATGGTTAGTTTGTATCTCAGAGTTAATAATTTTATTGTTTTATTTTCGACGAGGATATATATGTACTAAACAAGAAGTGTACTCCCCCCCAGTTCTTGGTATATATGTACTAAGAGTATACTTTAGTTTTGAACTTTGATCACGAGTGATGTATACCTGGTCGTTAGGTAGTTAACTAGCGTAATTGTCTTAACAACCCTGCCACAGTTAGTGGGCCATTAGCCCAACACCAAAACCACATTTTTGTCAACCATTAATCCACGAGAAATTTATTTTAAGAAATGCTCACTCTATTCATTATTTATTTCTTGATATACAAATTATGCAATATCCATATTTGCTATAATAATTTTAATTATTACAAATCTGTAAATCTGTAATTTACTCCATTTTTTTATATTCCCTGTTAATCTGTTACTTCATAACCTAATTAACTATTTCTGCATCTACTAAACTTGAGTTTAGTTTAGTCTGTGTTGGGCTTAAGGCCTGTCAACCGAGAGGAGACCATTAAGATCACCATTAATACCCTTCACACCAACCAGACAGTCTTGAGATTGCAGATCGGCGTTCAATCCCCGACCGTCCATATGCTTGGGTATCATTCCTTCCCTCCGTCCCATCCCAAATCATTATCTTGACCCCTTCCAAGTGCTATACAGTCGTAATGGTTTGGCACTTTCCCGTGATAATTCCCTCCCTCCCTCCTGATTATAAAAGTATATTAATGATTAATTTCAGGGCATATACCTCGAGAACCGCGCTACACCATCCCATGTACTAAACGTCGACTCAACTTATTGTAATCCAAACTCTTTTTTCTTGAAAGAAAAAAATATGCAGGCGATGGGTCACAATAACGTGGCTAAAGTAAGTTGACCAGACCACACACTAGAAGGTGAAGGGACGATGACGTTTCGGTCCGTCCTCGACCATTCTCACAATCGACTTGAGAATTGTCCAGGACGGACCGAAACGTCGTCGTCCCTTCACCTTCTAGTGTGTGGTCTGGTCAACAAAAAATATGAATTGCGAAATATCATTTAAGATATTTCGTTCCTGAGTAGATGTTCAAAAACCAATTTTGCTAAAATTTTTGTTTAATTTACTTGTAGTAGTAGTAGTAGTAGTAGTAGTAGTAGTAGTAGTAGTTGTAGTTGTAGCTGTAATAGCAATATTAATTGTCGATGTTATAGTTTGATTAAAGTCTCATTTTGAAAGTCCCTTGTGGTTCCCTCTGGCTAAGTAATTTGGTCCTGAATGAGTGATATTGGCATTAGTATTAACTCCAGTTTCTTACACGTGTAAACATCTGTGTCCCCAGACACTGCTGGCGAAGGCCATGTGTGCTGTTCTCCTGATGGGCTGCTGCAGGGCAGTTGACGTCTCCTCCCTTCACGGCGCTGCTCCTGATGGGGGCACCGCAAACGGAAGCAGCGGTGGTCGTGGTGGGGGCGTGTTGGCGTTCCACCATCCATCCGGCTTCTTCCGTGGCATTGCTCCCGAGTCTTTGGATAAATCCTCTCTACAAGGTTTTGCCAATAAGGCTCATGACCTCTCAGCCAGTCACAGCGCGCACGACGCGGTCAAGCCTTATAGCAGTGGATTTGGCGGGGCTCATGAGAACGTCTATGGTGGCAAGCCTCATTCCTTCGACAGTTCTCTCGGTGTCAAAGATAACCCTTTCGACAGCTCCTTAGGCGTCAAAGATAACTCTTTCGACAGCTCCTTAGGCGTCAAAGATAACTCTGGCAGCCTATACGGTGTTAACGGTAACTCCTTCGGCAGTTCTTCCAGCATCAAAGATAGCTCGTTAGGCAGTATCTATAGTGTCAAATCTAATTCATTCGGCAGCGCTCATGGTGTCAAAGATAACTCCTTCGACAGTTTCTTAGGCGTCAAAGATAACTCAAACAACCCTTACGGTGTCAAATCTAATTCATTCGGCAGCTCTCATGGTGTCAAAGATAACTCCTTCGACAGTTTCTTGGGCGTCAAAGATAACTCAAACAACCCTTACGGTGTCCAAGGTAGCTCATTTGGTAACACTTTTGGTGTGAAAGATAACACCTTCGACAGCTCCTTAGGCGTCAAAGATAATTCAAACAACCCTTACGGTGTCCAAGGTAGCTCATTTGGTAACACTTTTGGTGTGAAAGATAACACCTTCGACAGCTCCTTAGGCGTCAAAGATAATTCAAACAACCCTTACGGTGTCCAAGGTAGCTCATTTGGTAACACTTTTGGTGTGAAAGATAACTCCTTCGACAGCTCCTTAGGCGTCAAAGATAATTCAAACAACCCTTACGGTGTCCAAGGTAGCTCATTTGGTAACACTTTTGGTGTGAAAGATAACACCTTCGACAGCTCCTTAAGTGTTAAAGATAACGCGAACAACCCTTACGGTTTCAAAGCTAACTCCTTTGGCGGTTCATTCGGTGTTAAAGGAAACTCAGCAAATCCTTACGACGCCAAAGTTAACTCCTTCGACGGCTCTTTCAGCGCTAAAGATCATTCCTTTGACAAGTCCTTCGGCATCAATGCCAACTCCTTCGGCAGCTCATTTGGCGCGAAGAACGGTTTGTCAAACGGCTTCGTAGGCTCGTCACGTAGACTTGGTGGCTTCCGAGGAGGACTCCAAGGCTCTATAGATTCCTTTGGAAAATCTTCCGGTGGGCTTGGTGGTCTTCGAAGTGGCTTTGCTGGCGTGAAGGGGATTGCTGCAAGCCCCTACGGCTTCCCTGGCAGCTCCAAGAGTGGCTTTGGAGGGTCCATCAATGGAAAACGAATCTTCGGTGCGTCTGCTCTCAGCGGTGCTCGTGGACGGTCCATCTTTGTTCCCGCAGGATACCTTCGAGGCTACAAAAGCTACGCTGGGAATCGTGGTGGAAATCTTGGCTTCCGTGGAAAGTTCATTCCTGTCAACGTTGGTTACGTCGGATAATTCACAAGAAAGGGACTCTAATATAAACCATGACGTCTAGGACAACTCTGAAGATTTATGAGTAATTTAAATTAATAATAGATATTTTTATTTATGAAACGTAAAATATTTAACTTTCTTTATATAAAAATTAGCTTTTTAATATTAATTGTTCATCGATAGAAGTAATATTATGGTAATATCATAATATTTATATTTTAACAGTGATTTGATGTAACATTTAGAGACAAAATATGTTTTAAATTCTGTATTTAATAAACTTATACAATAAACTATCCGAGGAAGCAATGAGAATTGTTAAAAACTTTGACAGACAATAAATGATAATATTATGATAATTTTTTTCATATCCTTCTTCTTGAGTTTAATAATGAACCTAAGGAAAGACCTAAGGAAACTTTCAACAGATTAGTCAAACTAGAAACTTAATATAATGAATCCATCAAAAGGGCCTCATATATTTTCTTCTTCTACAACAGGTATTTAAAATACATATGTGAGGGTCTTTGTTCAGGTTTGCTTGACTAATTTAATGCAATGGTTTCATATTGTCGGGGTCAGGAGTCCTAGCAGATTTATCGAACACTCCCTAGGCCTACGACTAACTTTTAACAGGATGCACCCCACAATAGCTACCTATTCCTAGGTACCTATTTACTACTAGGTGATCAGAAGAATCAGGTGTACGAAAATGTGCTCACAGGTCTCGCCCTGCTTGGGGTTATAACCTGGGACCATTCGGCTGTCTGCTGACTACTTATCCACGAATGATTAGCATGTGTTTTATACTCACTTATGTCGTGTGTGTGTGTTTGAGTGTGTGTGTGTGTACTCCCCTAGTTGTGTTTGCGGGGGTTAAGCTTTGGCGCCTTGGTCCCGCCTCTCAACCGTCAATCAACTGGTGTACAGGTTCCTGAGCCTATTGGGCTCTATCATATCTACATTTGAAACTGTGTATGGAGTCAGCCTCCACCACATCACTGCCTAATGCATTCCATCCGTTAACTACTCTGACACTGAAAAAGTTCCTTCTTACGTCCCTGTGGCTCATGTGAGTACTCAGTTTCCACCTGTGTCCCCTTGTTCGCGTCCCACCAGTGTTGAATAGTTTATCTTTGTTTACCCAGTCGATTCCCCTGAGGATTTTGTAGGTTGTGATCATGTTCCCCCTTACTCTTCTGTCTTCCAGTGTCGTAGGGTGCATTTCCCGCAGCCTTTCCTCGTAACTCATGCCTCTTAGTTCTGGGCTAGTCTAGTAGCATACCTTTGGACTTTTTCCAACTTCGTCTTGTGCTTGACAAGGTACGGGCTCCATGCTGGGGCCGCATACTCCAGGATTGGTCTTACATATGTGGTGTACAAGATTCTGAATGATTCCTTACACAGGTTCCTGAAAGCTGTTCTGATGTTAGCCAGCCTCGCATATGCCGCAGACGTTATTCTCTTTATGTGGGCTTCAGGAGACAGGTTTGGTGTGATATCAACTCCTAGATCTTTCTCTCTGTCTGTTTCATTAAGTACTTTATCTCCTATTCTGTATCCTGTGTCTGGCCTCCTATTTCCACTGCCTAGTTTCATTACTTTGCATTTACTCGGGTTGAACTTCAACAGCCATTTGTTGGACCATTCACTCAGTCTGTCTAGATCATCTTGTAGCCTCCTACTATCGTCCTCAGTTTCAATCCTCCTCATAATTTTTGCATCATCAGCAAACATTGAGAGAAACAATTCTATACCCTCCGGGAGATCATTTACGTATATCAGAAACAGTATAGGTCCAAGGACTGACACACACCAAGGACTGTGTGTGTGTGTGTGTGTGTGTGTGTGTGTGTGTGTGTGTGTGTGTGTGTGTGTGTGTGTGTGTGTGTGTGTGTGTGTGTGTGTGTGTGTGTGTGTGTGTGTGCGTGTGGGTGTGTGCGCGTGTGTGTGTACTCACCTAGTTGTACTCACCTAGTTGTGCTTGCGGGGGTTGAGCTCTGGCTCTTTGGTCCCGCCTCTTAACCGTCAATCAACAGGCGTACAGGTTCCTGAGCCTATTGGGCTCTATCATATCTACACTTGACACTGTGTATGGAGTCAGCCTCCACCACATTGCTTCCTAATGCATTCCATTTGTCAACCACTCTGACACTAAAAAAGTTCTTTCTAATATCTCTGTGGCTCATTTGGGCACTCAGTTTCCACCTGTGTCCCCTTGTGCGTGTGCCCCTTGTGTTAAATAGCCTGTCTTTATCAACCCTGTCGATTCCCTTGAGAATCTTGAATGTGGTGATCATGTCCCCCCTAACTCTTCTGTCTTCCAACGAAGTGAGGTTCAATTCCCGTAGTCTCTCCTCGTAGCTCATACCTCTCAGCTCGGATACTAGTCTGGTGGCAAACCTTTGAACCTTTGAACTTTGTGTGTGTGTGTGTGTGTGTGTGTGTGTGTGTGTGTGTGTGTGTGTGTGTGTGTGTGTGTGTGTGTGTGTGTGTGTGTTTGTGTGTGTGTGTTGTACCTCAACATGCTACGGGCGCATGAGCATCAACTGTGCATCAAGCTTGAATGGTCCCCAAACCAACATGCATCAGAAAACGTTTGACCCCTGAAGGATTCGAACCCGGTCAGCCAGGACCTGGTTGTACTGTACTATACTTTAGGAGGCCAGTACTATAATCACTCAGCCACAGACTGTACAAAAGGGGGTTCAAGAATTTTCTGACCTCGGATATATATATATATATATATATATATATATATATATATATATGATATTTGATATATTGATATATGATATATTTGATATATGATGATATTTGTATATATATATATGATGATATATATATGATATATGATATATATATGATGATATTTGATATATTGATATATGATATATTTGATATATGATATATGATATATTTTTGGATGATGGTACTGTAGCCGGCTCCCCAGCCTCACTCTTGGACGACATAAGAATAATCCAGGAGCAAGGAGCAAGCCTAGGCCTCACCCTGAACCCTTCCAAGTGCGAAATAACCTCCACCAACCAGCACATAATAGAGCAAATAAAGGTTGTTTTGCCTGACATTCATACAACCAACCCTGAGGACAGCACACTCCTAGGTGCTCCTCTTGGAAGGAATGCCATCGACGGGGTCCTTGGTAAGAAGATCACTGACCTGAAGAGGATGAACGAGAGGATTGAAGACATCGATGCTCATGATGCACTTTACCTCATCACCAGATGCTTGTCCCTTCCCAGGCTGACCTACTTTCTAAGATGTTCGCCATCTTTCAACAATATTAAATTAGAAGAGTATGACAGCTTGCTGAAATCAACACTAGAAAAAGCCCTCAATCTTTCCCTCAGCGACTCACAGTGGAAACAGGCCAGCATTCCTGTCCTCTTCAGTGGGGTCTGACAACCTGGTGAAGGAAATCCTACCTGAGCACCTATTTCAACAGGCAGGGGTGCATGATCCCAGCTTCACAGACTGCACAACCAAATGGGTCTCTCTCGCAGGACCAGCACCCCAACCACCGCCTTCTGAAGCCCATAAGCAATCCAGCTGGGATCGCCCCATTGCCGACCAAGAAGCTGCAACTTTGCTAGAAGCTGCGACGACACCACATGACACTGCCCGACTTAGAGCTGTAGCAGCTCCCCATGCAGGTGATTTCCTATTAGCAACCCCAATGTCAGCAACCGGCACCCGTCTCACACCGCAGGCCCTCCGAATTGCCGTGGCTCTCCGCCTAGCTGCCCCAATCCACACCGAATACAGGTGTATTTGCGGCGAGGCAGAGGCCGACAGATATGGACGGCATGGCCTTCTTTGCCAAAGGACCGGAGGATGGCATGCAAGACACGGCGAGGTTAATGAGATTATTAAGAGAAGCCTTACCACAGCCGGTTGTCCAGCAGAGAGAGAGCCCCGTTACCTAATGTCCCGCAACTCTGATGAGCCTGTCGGTCGCCCAGACGGAATTACGGTGAACCCCTGGAAGAATGGTAGACAGTTGGTGTGGGACTACACTTGCGTTTCAACTTTAGCCAATACCTATGTTGACTTCAGTGCTACACAAGCAGGAGGAGCTGCCAATCACCGGGAAGCGGCCAAGTCACGTAAATACAGAGACCTTGAGCACCACTACAATTTTGTCCCCATTGCCTCAGAGACGCTTGGTGCCTGGGGTAAAAGTGCTGCTAGCTTTTTAAAGGAGTTGGGGTCTAAGCTAATCGAAACAACTAGAGACCCCAGAGCTGCCAGTTTTCTTTTTCAGCGCCTTAGTGTGGCAATCCAGAGAGGAAATGCTCACTGCATCCATGGTTCCTGCCCGCCATCTGAGGAGCTGGAGGAGCTATTCAACTTATGACAAGCAGCCTTGTACCCTGTATGTAATCAATATTGTAACTTTTTTGTGTAATGACATTTTCAAATAAAGTTAGATAAATATACACACTTAACAAAAGAATAGGGGTGGTAGGAGAAGAAAATATCAAAGTGTTCAGTGAGGATCCACAAGGTCTTCTCTGAGTACTCTTTATTTTCTTCTCCGAGGCTATGGGTCCCTACATTTGCACCAGAGGTGGTACCCCTTCTAGGTTTTTAAAAATATATATATATATATATATATATATATATATCTTCCCTACCCTTCACCACCTTCCCTTCCCCTTCACCACCTTCCCTACCTTTCACCACCTTCCCTACCCTTCACCACCTTCCCTACCCTTCACCACCTTCCCTACCCTTCACCACCTTCCCTTCCCCTTCACCACCTTCCCTACCCTTCACCACCTTCCCTACCCTTCACCACCTTCCCTACCCTTCAGCACCTTCCCTACCCTTCACCACCTTCCCTACCCTTCACCACCTTCCCTACCCTTCAGCACCTTCCCTACCCTTCACCACCATCCCTACCCTTCACCACCTTCCCTTCCCCTTCACCACCTTCCCTACCCTTCAACACCTTCCCTACCCTTCAGCACCTTTCCTACCCTTCACCACCTTCCCTACCCTTCACCATCTTCCCTACCCTTCAGCACCTTCCCTACCCTTCACCACCTTCCCTTCCCTTTCACCACCTTCCCTACCCTTCAGCACCTTCCCTACCCTTCACCACTTTCCCTACCCTTCACTACCTTCCCTACCCTTCACCACCTTCCCTTCCCCTTCACCACCATCCCTACCCTTCACCACTTTCCCTACCCTTCACCATCTTTCCTACCCTTCACCACCTTCCCTACCCTTCACCACCTTCCCTACCCTTTACCACCTTCCCTACCCTTCACTACCTTCCCTACCCTTCACCACTTTCCCTACCCTTCACCACCTTCCCTA